ATGCCATGACACAAATTTTGACAAAAGGCATGCCTGTGGTATGCCAAATTTTTTTTTTGCGTGCCAGACGCTAGTACCCAATTGTTTAATTTCATGTGATCGATCAACCTCTTACTTTTATTGGGCAGATCGGTCCTGAGTCACAAATTTCAAGTTTGGAAGTTTGTGCTATTAATTAGGGTTAGGCGGTGTACAACAATAACGTAAACACCTCCGACGCCTGTCGTAAATTTATTATTTTTTTTTTAAAAAAAAAAATTAAAATCCGGGTCGGCGGGTCACTAAAGGTGAATTGGTGACATGATAACCGATAATATAAGTTTGTGTGCTTCATTTATATAATTTTTTTTACTTGGACATGCCAAAAAATACCTTGATCAAGAATGTACAATGTTGCTACCAAAATAAAAAAAATATATATATTCACAACACTTAGTCTCAAAAGAATTAGAGGTGAAAAATAGCCAGTAAATTATCCAAAAAAAGGAATAAAAAATGCAACCTTTTTTAATTAATAATATGTATATGATTGGAGAATCTAGATTTATGCTATATTGCTAGGGATTGGAACCGTTTAACCGTTTAAAAGTTGCTCCATAGTCCCGGGCGGAATTATGTTGGTCGTGAGCTGAAATTATTTTAATGCCGGTCAAATTAAACGGTTAAACGATTAAATGATTAAGAAAAATTTTAGGCGGTTCCAATCCTTATATATTGCTTATTTTAAAATTTCAAAACAATAGTTCTTCAGCAAAAAAAAGTATAAAATTACAAATACATAGTAAACCCAATTGTAACATGACGCATTGACCATAATTTTAATTTATAGAAAGACCTATCGCTATGCAAGCACTAATATGAATGAGAAAAATGTCTATATTTTTCGGTCTATATAAATAACAGTAGATATCAACGCACGAAGGTTCGTCAAAATAATATGAACTGGATATATAAAGTTATTCTGTTTTAACACCGGAATAAACCTCAACCGATTTTTTTCCTTGATCTTCAAGCAAATCTGATAATTTCTTTTTTTTCAGCATAAATCATTTGACTGACCGACTTAATGGAAGGAACTGCCATGCCAGAAACACAAGCAATGTTTTCGATTGACACAGAAATATTACGAATGCTCGCGACAAAGTGAATAGTTGCAGCGGCGATGGTATTCTGAGTTCGACCAGTCAAAAAACCGAGTTCTTCAATACGTTGACTAATTTTGCTACAAGTTCTTTCAATTTCGTGTGAAAGCCCAAGTCGATTACAAAATCTTGTCATCAGATCTTCAGATTTCATTAATCCCATATTTAATTCAAAAGTTGCAACCAAATTCTTAACAGCGCGAGCAAGATGTTTCTTGGAAACCTGAGTGGAGGCGCTAATTTCTTTGAAAGACCTTGCAACTTTATTTATTCGGCATGCGATATAAATACAAGCAGCATAAAAAGCAATTTTATTTTTTCCTCGCATGACTTTTTCTTCAACGGTTCGTTTGTATAGCTGCTTGGTAGTATCAATTACTTCTTGTGATAAATCCATTGAAGTACACATAGCTTCTATCTCACGAAGACTATGCTTA